TTAGTATTCCTCATTATTTTTCTTTTTTAACTATATCTATTCTGCTTTGTATGTTGTTTGGACTACTTTTTTAACAAAGGCTCTTAAAGGAGTCTCTAAACTTAGGCCTTTCCATTCAGGAATATACTTCATACTCTTGTTACTGATATTGTTTAGTTCTATACTCTGTACTTCGTGAATCCCTTCTTTGCTAGCCTGTTTGCTATATCATTGTATATGTCTCCTGAATGGCTTTTGACTTTTGTAAACATTAGTTAAACTAATTTACTCTTGTAGACTTTCTTGATTTCATGCAGAATGTTGCTATTTTTGGTTTTTAACCACTCATGTAACTTTTCGTTTTTGAGTCATTTTTTAATTACGAGAATTGCATACATACTATCTGTTTTTATTTCTATTCTACACCTACTAGGAACTAACAATACTACTACTAGACAAGTTACTAACTCTGCATGTGTAGATAAGAACCAGTTTTCTATTCTTCCTTTGTAACTAAAGACTATGTTATTTGCGATATCTATTTGAACTATACTAAATTCCATCCTTATTCTGTTTCAAGTATCCCTTCTACTGAGTAAGCCATCTATATAAAATACTATTTCCTTCTCCTCCCTATTTACTTCTAGTCTATTCTTAAGCTCTTTTCTATCCTTCGTGTTCTAGATAACTTGGTTAATTAGTTCTGCTTCCCAACTTCCTTCTAACTCAATATGCTCCAGATTCTTAAACTTTTTAAACTCTTCTACTTTGCTTTTTTGGTTTTCTATTTCTATTTTCTCCAAATACTTTTTGTTGAATACTATTTGTGGTCTGTTATCTTTTTTCTGTATAAAGCTTGAAATATTATGAACCTCTTTTAATACTATTCTTTGTTTTTGACTCATTTTCTTTAACTTGTGACCTTCCTTATAAACTCCTTGCTGTACAAATGCTTCTTGTTGGTTAGTTTCACTTATATATTATTGGTTTTATTCTATTTTTATCTTTATTATTATTTATATTTCAAATATTATTATATTTCATATATTATTAAGTTTCATAAGTCTCTTCCAGAAGGTTATACTGAGTTTGATTTATGTTTCAAATATGTATTTCTATTTATGTATTTTATTAATTTATATTAGGAAAATATATATTTAAAGGCTGCTATTTTGCCTTAATAAAGTTCTTTAGTTTTGGTTTTCTCTAATCCACTGCCTCTAAAATATTTAAAGTGTTAAATATTCTTATCACTAATATTATAAACTGTGTTTATAACTAAAACTCATTATTTAAACTATTACGATATATTTAAACTCTTACAAGTAAGGTATTTAGTTTAGATTTTAAATTAGCAAAAAATAGTTTGTTAGAGAAAATTTTAAAAAATGCAAAAAATTTATAAACATAGATAGCAAATATAATATGCTATAGTATCTTTCTATTGAGGTATTTTTGGTTACTCATACTAATGGGTCTAAAAGTAAAGAGGTCAAAAGTCACTATAGCAGATCATATTTAGATACTAAAGTAGTAACTAGATAAATTAATACTTAGTAGTAACAACTACTACTTCTAGAATAATGATATTCTCTACTTATAGTAGGCTATTTCTAGAAGAGAATGTAGTAAGTAAATAGGTAAACAAGTCCATTTATGTGAAAGACCAAATTATAATAACCAGACCCAATATATAGAACAGGCTTTAGACTTTTGCATAACTATGAAAACTGAATATATAGTGAGTAACTCTACAGAAGAATTACCTTTCTCTTCAATTACTAACATATCATTCCACACTAAAAAAATTACCTGTTTTAACAACTTTTTACTAATAAATAGGCTTTCTACATTTAATAAAAATGAAATACTTAATTTATTTCTCAAATACTTACAAAAACTATCATATCTACTTCTATTTAAAATCTCAATAAATATATCTCAAACTGAAACTTATATCAATACAAATACAAAAAAACCAATACACCTAATCATACTATACTTTCTCCTCAACTCTATTACAAATTCTACAATTTATCAATTCATACAAAAATTAAATAATCACTAATTAACTATAATACTTTTCTCAAATCTACTAGTATTTCTAATCTTACTAACTACTAAATAACAAATGCACCTTCTACAGAAAATGAAATACTAACTCATACACTTAAAATTAATTCTCTTAATACAAATAGACTATTAAAAACTACAAACAATAAAGCCTAGTAGACTATATTACAGAAAATTAAATCGATATATTTGATATCTCAGAAACTTATCTAAACTTAAAAGAAGCAAAATTTTCTTTAATATTCAAAAATCTTACTAACTACCAAAACTTCTGAGCGCCTAGTGATAGTTATCAGAGAGGTGTTAGAATTCTAATCTACAAACAAATAGTAAAATATATTAGAAAAATCCAAAGCTTTAAAAACTTTATTATCAAAATTAATCTCTATTTCAAAAACAATCATACAAAACTTATTCAAATATACTTTTCAACACAGGAGAAAAAACAACTATGCAAAGAAGTTATTACCTATCTAACTTATATTTTGCAATTTACTTACTTTAAAATTATAATTATAGGTGATCTAAATAGTACTCCAAACCCCAAACTTAATAGACTACCTCCAAAAAAACTAATATACCCAAAAACCAACTTCTCAAACTCCTCAAACACCAAAACTTTTATGATATATTCTGACTTTTTCATCCTACCACTACCAAATTTACATAACTCATAATGAAAATACAAGTAGAATTGATCAAGTATGAACTAATATCTATATCATACTTATTGACTATGCAGATATTCTACTAAAACTTTTTTCTACATTAGACTACTCAATAACCACCTTTGAAACAACAATTTTTCTAAACAAACTCATCATACTCCTATATTATATAAGAACTCTATTCATATAAGACAAAACACAACCTACTCAATAGAAGCTTATCAATAACAAACAAAACAAAGTTTTAATTACCTTTTAGATCCAATCTCAAAAATTACAAATATAGAAGGCTTGAACACTATATAAAACCAAATTAAAAGTCAATTAACAAAGCAGCTTTCAAATATATTCCTTATAAAAAAATCAAAACAAATACATCTCCTAATATCAACTCAAAACCTATACTACTACTATTATTCAACTAACTCAAAATGCTATAGCTATTATAAGATCTTTTAAAAACCTGAATATTTCTCAACTTTACAACTCTTATACAAATAAATATTTATACAATACTCTTTTACTCAAATCTTTTCAACAATTCCTAAGTTCAAATCCAAACTCTAATACTATTCCTTTTCTCTTAAAAAGTAAAATCAAAAACTTAAAATTCCAAATACAAAAGAACAAACACTAATTACTCAAACTTCAGAAATCAAACTATCTTTTAACAACTATTTCTAACAATACTTCCAAAAACTTCTATATACTCCAATAGATACAAATTCACCTTTTTATGATCTTTACAAACCTTATCCAGAAAATGAACATCTTTATCAAAACCTTCTCTCAGAAATAACACTAGATGAATAGTCTAGAACTATAGACAAAATACTAAACAAAAAAGTTACTAGTCTTTCTGAACTTAAATATAAACATATCAAAACACTTAGCTTCAAACATCTCAATATTCTCTATTTCTTTCTCTCCAAATACCTACTTCTACAAAGCATCCCAACAGAATGAAAAATATCTAATATTTTTCTTATCCCTAAAAAATCCTTTTGGATTTTACTTTAGACTAAGTATAACCAATCTCTTTAATAAAACTATTAAAAAAATGCTTAACCAAAATATTCACTATATGTCTTGATCAAATCATAAACCAAAATCAACTACTCAGTAATCTAAACTTTACAGCTACAAAAAATAGTTCAATATATATACCAATTCAAATCCTACTAAATACTATCGAACACTACAAAGTAAACAACAAAGAAGCATAAATATTGTTTCAAGACATGTTCAAAGCCTTTGACAAAATCAATATCAAATGCCTTATTGATGCTTGTAAAAGAATTAGCATTCTCTAAAATACTATTAACTTCATTTAATTTCTACATCAAGATAGAAAAACCAAAGTTATAATAGTTCATGATCTTACTAATTATATCTTTTTATACTTTAGAATCAAATAGGATGAAACTTTCTTACTACTCCTCTAGAAAATATATTATGATCCTATACTAAGCTACATTAACACTAAATACAAATCTAAATTTCTTAAAATAATAATTAAATCACCCTTTGACCTTATATTCTCAAATAAACCTACTTCTATTACAATCTCTGCTTTAGCATTTATGGATGATACTGTTTAGTATTGTAAATCAAAGGACAACCTTTAGGAAATACTTGATAATATCTCAGAATTTTACCAAATTAACAATATTCAAATAAACCCTTCCAAATCAAATCTTCTCTACATATCCAAATTCAAAACTTCTTAAACCAATATATTATCTAACTCTCCTCCGACTTTCAAAAACCAACAAATTCTTCCTTATAAATCTAATAAAATTATAAGATACTTAGGTATCTTTTTTAATAGAAATAGTTACTGCAATAGCAGGCTATTATAAGATCTTCATTTATAGTAGATACAGTTAGAGCAGCTCTCTAAATGCAGATTACAAGTCTGTTAATCATATAAAGTAATTATATAAATGAAATACTGAGATTGCGTAAAAGTAAAAATCATCTAATATTTGTTCACATGATAATATCATATACTGTGCAAATGTTTAATGCAAAAACTTAACTTTTGCTCTTACATTTTATTTACATGATTCTTCTGTATGGCTTGGCAGACTCGTGACTATACTTTGGAGCTATTCTAGCTATCATTTACAGTAAGTATGCAATAATAAACTTAGTAATACTAGTGTGAAGATAATTGTAAATATGCAGAGTTTATAACCATTGTGAAAACAATAGTAAATATGTAGAGTTTATAACCATCATGAAGATAATAGTAAATATGCAGAGTTTATAACCATTATGAAGACAATAGTAATTACTAGAGATGCAAGTGAATTGTCCTAATAATGCTATAACTTTACTGTAACATGCTATAACTATATTAAATAATTATAAAAAGTTACAGCAAATGTGCTGTAATTTTTTATAATTATTTAATATAGTTATGGTATATTACAGTAATGTTATAGTATCATTAGAACAATTCGCCTGCATCTCTAGTAAATACAGTATGCAAAGTTTATAAAATTTTATAATCAAAGCAAAAACTATCTTATATAGAACAATAGCTTGTTACTTTTAAATTAGCGCAATCATAAAATTATATTTTACATGTCGATATTACTATTGTAAAGACATACAGAATTTATCAAATTTTATGATCAAACTAATTCAAAAATAGTAGTATAAACTTTATGTATTGTTGCAATAGTTGGTCTAACTATGTTAAGTAAGATAATAACTGTTTTTAACTACTTTAGCATAATCATTATCTCTCTCAATTCTTTAAAACACAAATAACAATTAGCTAAGTTATAACTCTAATTAGGCTTTACTAGCTTCTCTGTCTTCTTATTCTTTTTTCACACTAATTCATATCCAATTATATTCTTGCTTATCAGTAAACACAAACTAGAATATAAAACATACTTCTTCTCATACTTATTACAAAACTATTTTCCTCAGGCTTCTCAGCTCAAGTTTAAGATATTAATATTAAAATTATTTATATAATATATACAGTATATTAAATTATATATATAGTAAATAATTTATACTTTGTTGTAATTATGCTTGGTTCATTATTGCATTTTTATTTTTGAATTAGCACTAGAGATTGTACTTGTTTATCTAATAACCCAGTTAATAATTATATAATAGGTGAGTAAACTAGAGCTTAAATTTTTAGATGGATACAACCTCAAATTAGTACAATAATAAAATTTATGAATTTGTATATTATATTACTACGTATTATAAAAAAATAGTAATATATAGATTTATAAAATTTTATAATAGCACTAATTTAAAAACAATAATATATTATATATAACAATAATATTTTTTGTTTTTAAATTCGTGTAATTATAAAATTTTATGAATTCTTTATATGACTATTGTTTTAACAATATTAATATAAAACTTTATAATTATACTATTATAAAAATTTATATACAAGACTCAGGTCTGTTTTATTCTGTCAATTTTAAACTATTTGAATCTATATTTAAGAGATCTTATATATAAATTTTTATAGTAATAAACTTTATATATAATAATAGATTTTTTTGATTTATATATTTTGTATTGTTTTGTTTATTAATAAAGTATTTTATATTAAAATTTTATTTAGTTAATTTTATAATATTTATATTTATAAAAATTGTATAAAAACTATGATATAATTGTATATAGAAATTTCAAATTTTAATATAACTCATTTTCTTTTTAATAGTGTTTTTACTAAAACTCATCCAGAATTAGATTCATTAAATACTAGTATTTTAGAATTGCAAAATACTTATTAGTCTATATATTCAGGAGAAATTGAAGAAGATACAATTAATTTAATTAAAGAAGAAAAAGAAATTAATATTTTAGCAGATAAACAGTTATGTAATATTGAAAGTAATATTTTTTTTAAAACTCAAATTATCAATTTTTATAAAAAATATAATCAAAAAAGTAAAACTAAATTAATTGATAATAATTCTAAAAATAATGAAATACTTACACAACATGATATTGAAGTATTTTGTTTTAAGTTTAATACTTTTAATTGCTGCTTATCTTGGAAATGTACTAAAAAAATTAATCATGAAGTAGCTATAAAAAAATGGAAAAATGTTTAACTTTTATCAAAAGCTGAAAAAAATATGTTATTATTAGCTACACTTAATACTTTAACTAGAAAAGAAAATACTACAAAATATAAAAAGATAAAAAATATTTAACTAATGAATATAGATTTGATAGTGATAAAATTTGTTTAAAAGCTTTTTTATTAATTTATGATATAACTTATTGGAAATAGGAATTAATTCATAAATATTTTTTTGAACATGATATTTTACTAATATCTCATGAACTTAAAAATCAAATAGTAATAACAAAATTTCTTTTAAAAATATTTTACATATTTTAACTTTTATTTTAAATTATGCTAATATTCATAAACTTCCTTCTCCTGATATAAAGTTTAAAATTTATAATTATTTATTAATCTAATATTAATATTAATTTTATTATTTAGGTTGACATTTTGAAAAAGAAACAAAATTTATAATTTTTCTTTTAGCAACAGAAAGCTATTTAAGTTTATTTCATTTATATAAGTCTTTAATTATTGAAAACTCTGATTATATAATTAGCTCAACTAGTTTTATTAATATTTGGAAATTATATCTTCCTGAAATTAAATTTCTTTCTCCTAGAAGTGATTTATATATGAAATGTAAAACAATATGATTTAATATTAGTAATATTCCTGAATCTAAATTAGAACAAACTAATGTTTCGAGTGAAATCTAAATATTTCGCCAAATCCAAATCTGAAATAGGGACAATATTAATTTCACCAATTATACAAATTTCCAAAATTTCTGATACTTCTGAAAATGTACAATAAAATCCATAATTGCTCATAGTTTAGGCCCAATTCGATATTGTGTACATATTTAGTAATAAATCTTTTTTAAAAGCATTAGGACCTTACTCTTGCATTATTATTTTTTTTTTGCTATTACGTGAACAAGATAAATTTAATATAAGCCTATTTTATTACTGGAAGTAAACCTGTATATTGAGAACACATGAGTACCACTAAGGGAATACCTGCTATCTTGGTCTCTAATTATATTTAGTACCAGACACAATCTTTAATAAATTAGATAGCGATAGACTATATCTAGCACAAAATTTGAAAGCCTGATGAGGGTTTTCCCTTGGAGGTACTCATATACTCAATTTATTCAGTTTATGCAGAAAAACATTCTTGCTAGTTAGCAGAAGTTCTAAATAAGTAATAATAAACATATCTTTCTAATAGAAGCTTCCAACACATAAAATCGTACAAGAATTCAACCTACAGAAAACTTGAAATTTTTATTTCAAGTATTATATTTAGTTATTATTGCTTGAGCTAGCAAACTTAAAATATTGATCGATTCGATTTTTGTTATTTGATAAGCTCAATTATCATTAAGAAATTTAAATCAGCTTATACTATAATTGTCAATCACTACGCAATTAGTAATCAAATTTGAAAAATTTCTATCATATGAATATTAGTATAAATAGAGATGCATAAGTGAAAAGAACAAGTAATAACAAGTTTAACAAACCTTAACTGCTAAAGTAATATTTAACAAACCTTAAATTAATCTTTGGATTTGTAATATATTTAATCACATACTATTAATTTAGAGACTTTGAGTTAGATATACAAATAATAAAAGGCTCTACGTATATATAAAGGATCAGATTTTATTACCTTTTTCAAGAGATATATAATCTAATCAGAATTGCTTAATTCCATAACCCTACGGCATGATTTATGAAAACCAGAAAAACCCAAATATGATACTGTAGATAAATTAACTGTTACTAAAGCTGGGATCTGAAATTAATAATATGAAAAATGAATTTTTAAGAAGATTTCAAGTTTAATTTCAAGAAAAAAGAAGTTTAGAGATTTCTATGTGAAAGAAATAAGTTAATATGTATATGTATTGCATTTTTGTTTCTTTATTATTTTTTTTTTTAAAAACAAATAAAATGAATTAAACCTACTAACGAATGCTAAAAAAAAATTCAAGTTCAAGCAAAGAAAATTTTAAAAAATTTCATGTGAATAGCAACAATTTTTTTTTTTTTTCTAAAAAGAAAAAAAGGATCAAAACCTATTAATTACATATGCATATTTTATGTATTGCTTTTAATATATTATAACTTCTTTTTGTTACTGCAGTACTGTATTAAGAATTTTATTACAAAGAGATTAAATTTATCATAAACTGATTAAATATTGATTAAATATCTTAAATATCTTAAATATCTTTAAATAGCGATAGCTACAAATTTAGTTAAACATATTTTTGACATTTAAAATCACAATATAGCAGAAAACTCTAATAGTTTCTCTATTAATCCAATTAATACATCTATGTAAAAATCTAGTGGTAAACCAAAGTCAATTATGTGGGAAACGCACATTAAGCAGAGAGACCAAATTTCTAAAGGTCATTGGAGTACAACATGTAATTATTATAATGAGTATTGGTACAAAGGCTCCTCTGCTGCCCTTGAAAATTATTTAGGTAATTCATGTAATAAAGCCTTACTAGATATTCGTAGCTTATTTTAAGATTGATTAGCAACAAGAGAACTTGATGTATCAACATCAAAAAAATGAAAACTTAATGTTCAGTTACAACTTTCTGACTTCATTGAAAGTACCAAGTTAATACCAGATCATATTAAAGATATAAATAAAGCATTAGAAAGGTATTTATTATTTGTGGAGTCTACTTTCATATTATTGAGAATCTATTTTTTGTGGTATTATTAAAAACTTTATATCCAGCTTATGAACTGCTATCTAAAGATGTTCTTTCTAGTCACTATTTAGTACAAGAAACAGTATTTGTTAACAAAGCAATTATTAAACAATTAAATAAATCAAAAAATCTGACTATTAGTAAATTGTTATTTTAGTTACACTAATTAATAAAACTGATTAATCTTATGCATTAAGATCACTTACAGGTTTTACTAATTTTTTATCTTGTTTTATTATTTAGCATATGACAGCTGGAGTAATCCTTCTAATGAGTCAATTTGGAACTTTGTAATTTATATGCTGGCCTGCTGTCAGTATTTGTGGAGTCTTCAAAATCTGTTAAATAATAGACATATACAAGAATTTTTGGCAGAAGAGATTAATAATATTTTAGAAACAATTGGTCCAGAAAAATTCTCTGCTATTGTAACAGACTCAGGTGCTAATATTAGAGCCACACATAGTATTATTACAGAACAATATCCAAATATTTTAAACATCTAATGTATTTCTTATGCTATTAACCTTATTTCAAAAGATATTAGCAAAATATCATTTGTGGATCGCATGCTTAAACATTGCAAAATTTTGGTTAGTTATTTTAAAAAAAGCTATCTTGCAGGTAATTAAAATATTATTTAAAGTATGCTGCTAGCATTCCAAGGTCCCTGAATCAAAATTAAAAAAAAATTTATTTATTAATATAATTATATAGGAAGTACACTTAAAACTTTAGCTGATGAAAATTTAATTGAAGGTGGTAGTCTTAAACAATGGGTAGATACTCATTGGCATACTATGTATGATTGTGTATTCTCTATTATAAGGTATAAAGTGCTATTAGAAACAGTTAAGTTATTTGTTATAAATTGACTTTATATAATAAATTTTTGCACATAATAACTGTAAATTCTGTTCACGATTATTAATTGATCATGAATAATAAAGTTGTACATAATAATTTATTATTTTTTTTTTAATTAATTTATAGATTCATAATAATAATCCAGATATTGTAAATACCTCAATACAAGCAATCTTACACATGAGAGCATTGTTTGATGATTTAAATACCTTGGCATTTGTTCTTTATCCTATTAAAATAGCTATATCAACTCTTAAATTGCAAGATTGTTCATTAGCTGATTGCTTTATCAGTCTAGTTCGTTTGGGGGTAGCAATTAGAAGACTTCCAGAAAATGATTATTATAATTTTCACCAACAAGCAATTGCAATATATAATAGAAGATTCGCTGAATTTGATGATGATGCATATATTTTATGCTTTTTTTTACATCCTGAGTATACTAGTAAGTAGTTGTTATTTTGTTTATAATTTAATCTATTTTATTTATTGATAAATTTTTATTAATTTAGATATAGTATGGGCACGAAGAATATTTCAACATATTCTTCTTGCAGCAGATAACCTCTATGAAAAAATAGGTAAAAATCAAAAAGAAAGAAAAATATTAATATCACAAATGAGAAGTTATTGATGCTGTACTGCACTATTTGATATATCTTTTGGTAATAATGAATCTCCTACGATATGGTGGACTTCTCTTGAAGACAATTTTTTAAAAAGTGAGGATCATATTTGTTAATTAGCTAATAAACTGTTCTCTATAATACCATATGCAGCTAGATGCGAAAGAATTTGGTCAACATTAGGTGGTATTATAGCAAACATCGTACATGGCTTTCCTTGAGTAAAATTAAAAATAAGCAGAAGCTTTCTGCTTTTTATCTTGCAAATTCAAAAAAAGAATTACCATATTTTTCTGCTAACAATAGTACTGAAGATTTATATGAAGTATTATCTAATATGAATCTTAGTGATGATGATGATTACGATGAAAAACAACCTGCCAGTGAAGAAGTACAAAATGTAAAGTTTTTGGAAGAAAAAGTGCTTAAAATTAAGGAATTGTTAAATCTTGATATAGCTGATTTTACCAATAACTTAGGTGAAATAGTTTTTGATACTAACTTCGAGTCTTTTGAAGAGGAAAATGTTTATGTTCAAATTAATGATATTGAAAGCAACGTTGATAAGGAAATTAGGATCCTAAAAAAGAAGCTAATATAATGTTAGATTAGTATACAATATGTATAACCCAATCAATATAGTTTAATAGATATAAATTTTTCTGAATCTTTGATTCAAAATTAGCTAATAGTAATAAAAATTAAAGCATCTCACGTACCTTTTCTAACTAACCATAAAATTTTGACTAATCAGCCTGAACAAATAATAATAAAAAAGATAGCAATGATCAGTTCTTGAAGGACCAAATAAGAATTGGTCTTTAAATAATGCCACGATTATTTAATTTATGGTCTTAATACTGGTCTGAACCAGTTTTTGATTTTGACATAATAAATTCAATAAATTAAATACTATATAAATATTGTACATAAGTACTATGTATATCTCTGGTTGAATATTCAAAGAATTGGAACTGGCAAGATAAATACTAGGCACTTGGTATAAAAAATCAGCTAATAAAGGATAAGCTAAAGGAATGTATCATTGTTATCTTAACAATTAAGTTAAAAAGGATAAACTCTAGAGTATTTACTTGATATAAAAAATCAATCAATAAAGGAAATTCTAACAAAGTATTTCAAATTGTATAGGATTAGAGTCTAAATTAATAAACACTAAGCATTTAAGCATTATCAAAAAATCAGCTGAAATGAACAATTCTAACTGAATCGTTTAAACCATCTGCTTCTATTAAATTATGTTCATAGATACATATTTATCAAATACTTTCAATCAGTATATGAATATAAAGATGATTTATTTATTCGTAAAATTAAAATCTGCAAATTAGTATTATTTATTTTCTGGGAGCTTAAAAATTACAGCAGAGATTCCCGATAATCATAGGATACAGATAGCATCTGCATCATATGATCATCATAGAATCCTCTCTGCTGTAATTTTAAACTCGTCACAGGAAATAAATGAATAATTCCCTGCCTTACGTTATTCATGACCACCTAAAAATTCCAATTTTCATATGATCTGGAATCTCTCATAGGAAGATTCTCAGTCTCACGGGAAATTAAAATGAAGGTGATCATAACAAATAGTAAGGCAGGAGATTATGAACATAAATACTTATTTATAAACACATATTTACTATTACCTAATACTTTTTGAATAACTTCATTCAGCTCGTGAGTATAAAGATAATTTAATAATTGTGATGGATTAAAATAAAATCGGACTAAGATGAAATATTGTACAATATAAAAAATAAACAAGCCACTAGAAAATATAAATTTTTGAGGTTTACATAAAAATGATTTATTTATTTATTATCAGATTTATATTGAAAATATCGGAAATATAGGATCTTATCAGATTTATATCAGATTTTCGTTCTAAATTCAGAATTTGGAATTTTTATTTCAGAGCACTGTATTAAATCTGAAATATTACAGAATCAAAAAACAATTTCATCCGAAACATTAGAACAAACAATTAATGAATAGAAAATTCATAATGATTAGGCAAATTTAGAAAGAGAATATTATAGGTAAATTTTTTAAATTTTATTTTTAATTAAATTTTATATTTTAATTAATATTAATAAGTTTAATTTTAATTTAATAGAAAATGTATTTTAAATACTAAACTTAGTATATCTAATATTTTTTCATTTTTGCATCTTGGAATTTCTAATAGCATTTATATTACAAATTATATTTCTTGAAACTTTGCAGAAAATATTTAATTATCTTATTCTTCACAACAAGAAGTAATTTTAATATAGTATTAATAATTTTTATTTAATATAATTTTAATTATAATTTATATTTTTAAAGGGTGCTATATATTTTAAATCACTTTATAAAGTTGCAATATTTGGAATATATGAAGATGCTTTTTCTCATCAGGTAATTATTTAAAATAAAAAATATTATAGTATAATATAATTTTAATTAATTAATATATTTAATATTTAAGATTAATTATTTAATTGAAAAAAAAGAAATAGTTGAAAAAGAAGCAGATACTATAATTTCATTAGTTCATAATTATTTTGAAAATCATAGACTTGAAGAAAAATATATAATTATACATACTGATAATTGTATAGAACAAAAAAAAATAATGCAATAATTAAATGTTTAGCATGGAGAATAAAAATAAAATTACATTCAACATTACTAATTTATTTATAGTTGCTGGACATACAAAATTTTCTTTAGATAGATTTTTTGAACTATTAAAATTAAAATTACAAAATTCTGAAGTTGATAATTTAGAAGATTTAACTCAAGTTGTTAGAAATTCTACAACAAATAATTATAATATACCTCAATTAGTTATAGAAAATAATTAATGCAAAGTAACTTTTTTTAATTGAACAGAATTTTTAAACAATTATTTTGATACAGTTCCTCAAATTTTAAAACAGCATCACTTTTATTTTAGTCAAGATAATATTTGATATGTTATTATTAAATCTTCAATTAATAGAGCTTAACAAAAAATTAATTTAATTCGACATAATCAATTACTACCAACTAAAGATTCATTTTCTATATTAAAAAAATCATCAGGATTATCTGCTATATGATAATGATATCTTTATGAAGAAGTAAGAAAACATATACAAAATCTATTAAAACAAGATGATTATTGTTCAATACCTCAAATTCCAAAATTTAAAAAAGAAATTAAATTAAGGTATTTAATTTATAATATTTAAAAAAAAATAAAAAATATTTTTTGTATAATTATAT